TATTCCCTCCACGACCGCGGACACCCCAGCGTGTCAGTTAACAATAGATTTCTTAGAATTTTAATTAATTTCTTAAAAATTTACCTGGAGGTGTTGAATATGTGTAGTATATTAACTATCTGGTATCCATAACACGAGCCTCGTAGCCATGAACGAAATAACCACTGGACCAGACATATAAGCGGACGTACCTTTAACGGTCATGTCAGTAACCAGGGAATTTTAGCCTAGGTCGTTTGTTTCTTGTGTCAGTCTCAAGCACTTACTTGTCAACAAAACATCTCCCAAAAATGACTAAATGTTCTGTTAAATGGTGTAAAAACTATAACGGCGGAAGCAGCACTATTTCTTTTCACTTGTAAATACATTATTTTATTACATTTATTGTTATTTATCACAAAATTTAATTAAATGTAAAATAAAATGTCATATTATCCTACTATGTTAAATATAGTTGATATTTCTATGTATTGTTGACATCTGACAACCATCATAAACGGGTTGGATTATACCATTCAGAACAAATGACAAAACTGTCGAGTGAGTCCATTTGACATCGACTAGTGCTTGACAATGTCGAAAAATATATCGATATTTGACGAAATAACTGAACGAATTGTGTCATTTGTACAGTACAATAACATAAAATACTTTTATCACAGTATCCTACAATCTGATGACAATAAATTTATAAAAATATTTTCTAAATCAAATAAAAATATAAATGCAAAAATTATAATTAGTATGTGTACTTAATTTTTAATTTTATTTTATACCACATTTATATACTTTGGAATATTATTCCATTGTAATAATAATAAAGATCATTTTATTTCAACACATAAATTACACATAATCAAACAATAATGTTTTAGCACTAAACTTCTGGGTTGGCGATTTGTAATAAAACACTTTACCACTTGCACTAATTATTTTACTTTCACGATCCAACACTCACTTTTTCACAATTTGCAATCACTTTTTCTTTTTCCTAATTTCACAAATGTTTATTAATAACTGAGCAATATTAGGACAGTTTCACATTTTTATAACTACCCGAGACAATCAATCGCCAATTAAAATAGTTCAATAACAGAATCAACAAAATCACTTTATTTAATTAAATTAGCTTAATATTTTTTTAATCTTTACAAAATAATATTTATTATATATTAATGGAATATACACCCGATATTAATTTGTTTATTAACATTATTATAGGCCAACAGAATGTTGCCATCAATGCCATCGTATTTATATAAATCAAATTAAAAAATAATTATTATTTGCATATTATTATTGCCTCTTTAATTCATTTATTTTAATTTATTATAATAAATACAGATATTTTAAATTAAAAGATGTAAAATATGATGACTATGCTAACCAATGTCTAAAATGTCATTCATTGGTTCATCGATATATGTATTTTATCGATTACGTTCAAACACTAGAAATATTGTATTGTGTATCAGTGTTTATAATAATGTAATAAAATCTTTGTGTGCGCTATGCGTCACTTGGTTGAACTAGTTTTCATACATTTGTATTTTATGTCAGGTCTAGTCTCTAATTCGTCCATGCTCGTAGCATAACCATGGAACTAGATGGCACTGTGTGTGATGTACCAACATATAACATTATTATAAAAAAATATGTGTCGATATGTCGATAGTAAACTCCAGAACTGGCGATCTGATACTGAAGTTTTTTCTTATAGAAAGATACATAATTTTTAAGTATGTTACTTCTATATTATTATACTACCTTTTTATCCCCAGATCTGTGAGATATAAGTTTATTACAAAAGTTATTGATATTACGCGGTGTTTGTTTAGGACTTGAGTGAAGTCAAACTTTCTTTTATCTATTTAAATTAATAATGTATAATATTAATACTAATCTATACTAATGTAATTTAGGCAGAGTTTGTTTGTCTGTTTGTTTGAACGCGCTAATCTCAGGAACTTCCGATTTGAAAAAATATTTTTGTATTAGAAAGCCCGTTTATTGAGGAAAGCTATAGGCTATTATATAATATATTTCTATTTATTTTTATTTATTTATTACCTTTTTAAAGGAAAAAACAGTACTATAAATAATTACATTATAAAATATATAAAAGTAATTTTAAAACCAACCAAGTTTTCACAAATATCCACAGATAATCTCGTTACTTTAAGGCAAATTAAAGCCATCATGAAGATCTTCAAGGGATCTGATGACCCCATGACCAGGTTTTATCACAAATTGTTTAAAATCTTAGATCATTTTTACTCTACCTCTCGTAGGAAATGAAGTGATGATGTTCTCCTGGCGGATTCCGGCCACGGCGGCCAATCGACTAGCCAACTGCGCAGGAGATATTGTAGTGCACAAGTGTACGCGCACACAACGTGCACTCTCTATTTCTGTCACTCTCATACTCCGGTGGGACGACTGCTCGACACAACCAGTGAGAGTTAAGACGCAGGACCGACGGCATTACGTGCTCTCTGAGGCACGGGGGTGAAACACCGCCAACTTCCCAACTCCGGACTGCTACTGAAACTTACTATACAGAAAGACTCAATAACTAAACTTGGCCCGACCCGGGACTCGAACCCAGGACCTCCGAGTGTGCAGCCGTACATGCTAGCCACTACACCACCGAGGCAGTTGGAAATGAAGTACCCACTATATGGTATGACATGTATAAATTGCGTAGTGCAAGCTTTGAAATAATTTTACCTTTACATAAAACCTTTTACGTAGACCATTAACATACACTCAGCCCTTACTAATGGGTTGTAGTTTATAACTACAATCTCTCGCACTAAAATGTACGGGCGTTATATATCTTCAGATACGTTACGTGAGATTTGTAATTTTCTGATTTCTTACCAATTATAGAGAGAAGCCACATAATAAATAAATAATAATAAATAAATATGTTGGTACACTGACACACATCACCATCTGGTTCCATGGTAAGCTACGAGGCTTGTGTTATGGATACCAGATAGTCGATACACTACACATATAAAACTTTAAATACATACTCATTAAAAATATAAACACCCATGACTGGAGTACAAACATTCGTGCTCATCACACAAATAAATGCCCCTAGCGGGACTCGAACCCGCGACCGCTGGCATCGTATGTAGAGTCACTACAGACTGAGCCACACGCGTCGCTGTGAAATAAAAACTTTACATATACTTATACGAGTATAAAGAGGTAAAAATTTGTTTGTTTGAAAGACATTATTACTAAAACTAATAAACTAAATGCAAACATTTTTTCAAACATTGCATGTATTGTGAGTTTTATTTGTTGTTAATTATAGTTGCTCAATTGATTATTTTTAAATTAATTATTATTTATAGATCATATTTATTCTTTATATTTTGTTAGTTATAATTATATATTTTATAATATTATTTTGAAGTTGATTGTTAATATTTTATTATTTACAATTTTATAATATAACTAGCATTGCCCGCGGCTCAGATGACCAAGAACCAAATTCTTAGGTTTTACATATTAGTATACTCTTACATTGTAGTTTTTGTATTTTTTCTCAGAAATGAGATATTTTCCCGCGGTAAAAGGTATCCCATATGTTGACCCGGATAAGCAGCTATCACCATACTAAATTTCATCTAATTCTCTCCAGTGGTTTTTCTGTGATTCGTTAACAGACAGACAGACAAAAATTCTAAAAACTATAGATTCGGGCTCTGTATCGATAATAATGTTTATTTCAATAAGATTTCCAAAAAATATTTCATGTGCAGATTCGGCTCAGTTAGAACATTTTTATATGTACCTATAGATAAAATTCTACTTTAAGTCAATGTACCTCTTTTGTAAAGGTAATTCAATATATGAAAATAATCGGTTAATTAAAGCGTAAAATGAATTATGTTTAAAAAACATTTGTGATATTTTACTGCAAGTAAAATATACACTGTAGTAAATCTATTCAATTAAAAGTTCATAATATACGAATTCAGATTTAACTATGAAAAATTCGATTGAATTATTGATATGGTTGTATGAATTTATAGTACCGTAGTACAAATAAATTTTTATTTATTCCGCTGGATTCAACTGAAAACTGCTTGACAGGGTTTCATATGAAAATATAATAAAATTGCGCAATAAAATTATGTACTAAGCAAAGTATATTGTTCTGTCATGGATAACTTAACTTACATAAAAGTAGAATAAATATAAAATATTGTATGGAATATTGTATTCCAGTAATGTAAAGACAGTGGTAGCCAAAGGCAGTGGTAGCCCAGTGGTAACACGCTCGCTTGGGAAACGGAGTGAAGCGGGTTCAATTTCCGGGTCTCGCGCCTCTGATATTTTCATGTGCGAATAATTTCTAACATGATTACCACTACTTACGCTGAATACAATACATACAATGTAAACAAAAATATTATTTTTAGAAGAGCAAATGTTGAGTTTCTCGACTTTTTCAGCAAAACTGTCTTACGAGCCGGTGGAAGCTTCCTCACGGACTTACAATACTGACATTTAATATAACGGTCTATAAACACGATGAATTTTATCCTCCTGCCTACCAGAGACACTTTTTCTGGAGTACGCTCTTGAAATTTTAGTATAATATCGGCAATAGGGTATTATATGCTGGAAAAATAGTAAAAAAAATCCTACATCTGGAAAAACGGTTTTTCACTATGTCCTATATGTAGGACAAAGTGACTATATTACTATGTGATTTGTGTAGGACATAGAATATTTTATAGATATAAATTGTAAATAGAAAAGAAATAAAACACAAACACAACATATTGTAATCTTCATATTTCTGAAAAAAAAAACAAAAAGAAATTTCTTCTAAATAAAACTTTCAAAATTAAACATTTCTTGTCATAAAAATAACTAAACATTATAACGAACTTACTAATCAGTCGTAATTAGGAACATATTTAGAGATCAATCAAGTTTTATCATTATCAACACTTATACCCTTATAACTACTCTAAGTTTTGGTGAAAATCGGAATAACAATTCCTGTTTGGCGTGAAGCAGAGATAAATATCACATTTTTTGCAAAATACTGTAGTTTTTTTAGCACATCCACTTCTTCTACAGCGCGACTGTTTTGTTCCATATTCGGGTAGATGTGCAGCAGCTTTTGTACGGCATTCTTTCGACGGTATCGGCTTTATAAGTATTTTGCGTTTCTTATGTTTCGGCTCCATTTCTTCATAAGCATCATCTTCGCCTTCATCATCACTTCCTTCATTATCCAAAACAAGCTTTGTGCCCAAATCCATCTTATATTGGCGCAGCTGCCTAATATTTTTCTTATGCGTACCTTTTTCTACTTGTACAACGCGATAATGCAGCCTGCATTGCATTTACCACATGCATTACCACAGCCAGGTCGAAAAGATGTGAGATAACACGAATTGTCCACTTCTTGGTCCGACTACGGGATGGACAAACAGAAAGCATTCTGTCAGTGAGGTCGACCCCACCCATATTTTGGTTGTATGTCTTTATAACTACAGGTCTCCTGACTCTTTCATACCGTTTGTCTTTTTTTGACCATCGCTCGCATTCGTCGTGGCTTTGATCACAATGGCAAGTGGACATCATCAAGACTGGTTTGTTATCTAGCCACATCGTAATAGCCAGTTTACCGTCCTCTCTAACTTTAACTTCGCTACTTCCTCTTGCTTTCTTTCGGAAAACTTTTTCTTCTGTTAAAACGCAATTTTTCGGAACTATATTTTTAATTACTGTACCTGTGCCATGAAATCCGCGCCTCAACAGTTCGTCACACAGTTTGATTGAGGTGAAAAACCGGTCAAAGAACAACAAATGCCCAGGAACCAAAGTTCGAGTCAAATGTAAGACTGCAGCTTCGCCTAGACTAAATCCCTGGCTGATTAGATGGGGAAATGTTGTATCACCCTGATAAATCACCATGTCACAAACTACGCCTTGCGGCGTAGCAAGAACGAACACCTTTAGCCCAACAGGGTTCGGTTTGTTAGGACAGTATTGGCGCATCGGACATTTTCCAGTAAACGGAATAATCATCTCGTCAATACTCATTTCTTTGGGCCGGTTTTGTTCGTGACACCCCTCTAAGATTCGATTGAACAGCGGCTGTACTTTCCAAATTTTTTGTATCTTCTGTTCTGCTGTCACTTCAGAATCATAAACACACTTCAGCCGTCGTCTAATAAAAAAGAATCTGTTCCTTGTCATAGCTATTGCAATTATGGAAACTTTCCACTTTTCGGACCAGTACATATCAATTTGTGGATATTGCAGTGCTGACATTATCATTGTTATTCCTATATATATTTTAAGTTCCCTCAAAGTAAGCTCCATAGATTTTCCCGTCTCCAAGATATGCGTCCTATTCGTACAGTTGACGATAGTTGTTAAAATATTGTCGTCGATATATTGATCATAAAATTGATTCCATTCCCAATCCTTAGTTTCTTTGTGTATATATGCTGGCTGCATCAATTCAGTAACTTCTGAATCTAATGTATCCTTGGTCCAGGTATCTTGAAAGCCATCATTATGTTGACGATTCCTAATCGCAATCTGGCGGGTTGACAAAGGTGACGATTGCGGCCGTGGAGTGTCCTCGCTCAAACTGAGATCACGTCCACGACCGCGGCCACGTCCACGTCTACGTGAAACACTTCTGCCACGTCCTCTTGAGCGAGGCCGTGATGATGTCGATGCGATATCAGAACTACTAGAGAACGCCGGGGAAGCAGCTGAAGGAACCAATGTGTTTTCCTCTTCATCTGAACTGCTTGACTCGCTGATTTGATGATTATTGGCTCTATGGTTAAGTTCTGGCGGCACAAACTCCGGATCTTCATCTGAATCATCTCCCGAAAATTCAAACTCAGAATCATTTAAAGCCTCCGCTATCCCATTGTCCGTTAAAACTAGAAAAAACATAAATATGATAAAATATCTATCAATGTACTATATACAGTACATCGGAAGTCTAAGTACTAAAACTTTTATTGCCTACATTTGTCTTCTGCAAAGGACATAAAAAATTACAATACGTTGTCTTGGATGTTTTATACAATTACGCGAAAATAAAACTGCATATCATCATTTTATACTTCTCATTACTTTACTATCGCAAGAAATCCAATAATAACTTAGATTTAAATAAGATTTAAATCGATTAACTTACCTCTGCGTACACGCATCGACACATGTCTGTCTTCCATCGCCATTTTGAAAAAAGAAGACCACATGCGAAATGACATTTTTGTCTATTTTGGAACCCAGATAGTCGATAGATGTCACCACTCAAATATTTTGGGGTTACCATTTTAAAAACCGCTAGTATATATTTTTTATTCCTATGTCCTGGCTGTAGTACAGATGTAGGCAGGAGGTTAAAACGCGCTATCAAACGTATTTAACGCGTTATCGACATGTTGCGCGTTCATATCGACACAAACTCAAGTAATCTCAAGTAATCATTTTTTTAATTTATCAAAGTTGAATATATGTATGCGGACGACGTATGCTTATGACATGTAAATAAATAATAAATAAATATGTCAGGACATTAACACACAACACCATCTAGTTTCATGGTAAGCTACGAGGCTTGTGTTATGGATACCAGATAGTTGGTACATTATACATATATAACTTAAAATACAAACATATTATAAATATAAACACCCATGACTGGAGTATAAACATTCGTGTTCACCACACAAATGAATGCCCCTAGCGGGACTCGAACCCGCGACCGCTGGCGCAGCAAGTAGGGTCACTACAAACTCAGCCAAACGTGTCGTCAATCATGTAGCACTTAGTGCTAAAATGTAAATATTTGAGATACAAAAGTGCTTGTAAAATCTATTTGAATAAATAAAAAATAAAATAAATTAAATAATAATATAAACATGTAGGTAAGTGCGGTAGTTATTTTTTCTTCTGTACTAATTATCATAAAGATGTAAAGTTTGTGAGTTTGTGATATTGTAGGAGGTAATCTCCGGGTCTACTGAACCGATTTAGATGAAATTTGTTAAGAAGATAGTTTGAGATCTTGGGATGGTTGTAGGATATGGATAGGTTTTTATCCCGGAAATCATCCCTTAAGGGGATGAAAATTGGGATGAAAGTTTATCTGCGGAATCAAGCTAGGAATGAACCCGAGCGAAGCGAGGGTAGTAAATAAATAATAAATAAATATGTTGGGACACTAACACACAGCATCATCTAGTATTTTATATGATACCAGAATTACGATTCTGTTCTATGAAATCTATTACAATTGATGTAATTTTTTAGAAAGATAATATATACATGGAATTTCTATAACCAAACCTAGCTAGGCTATGAGTATTTTCTAAAAAACTTTAGGTTCAGGAAGCGACGCCGGATGTAGTACGGGCTTAATCGAAGCTTTAGCTCGTTAGTACTTTAAATAGCACCAGCGGACTTATAAAGTAAAATTTACTTAAGAGATTAAAAACATATATGCAAATAAAAATATAATAAAAGCAAATATGTTATTGATATCTAATTGAAGTACAAAACGAATTATCTGTAGGCAAATACAAATAATATAAATAAATATTTTTTGTCTGTTTGTTGTTTTTTTTTCATATTTCATATATATATTTTTTCGGTGTTTACAAAAATAGTCGATGAACTAGGTCATGTTTACTTATATAATAAAAATTGTTTGAGAAAAAATAAATATTTACTTCATCTAGAAATCGAACGCGTGACATCCAATATAGTAATCAATACACGTAAGAATTTATCTGTCCTTACCTTGCAATTCATGCATTCGTAAACTGTTTAACTCGAAACTAAAAGACGTAAAGAAAGTGAATTAAAACCTACTTTCAGTTCAAACACTTTGAAAGCTTTGACAGGAATCTTTCATATACCAACGTTTAGATTTATACTTTACGCCTTTGCCTCAGACACGCACGACGACGACATGAGTGTGAAATAATCACACCAAATTGGGGTCAACGACCTATCGCGTCTTTAGCAAAGTACCAATTAGTGTTAGTAATGCACTCGCTCGTGCATCGGAAAAGCGGCTTTCAAACGACGCATCAGTTGCTTTAATCGCTTGATGGGCATCGTTCAAGCTAAATGTAGCATTTATTGAAATGATACACGAAATTATACTTTAAGGTTGTGAGGATAGAGTTGTATTTTTATTGTATTGTGCCATGAGAATTAGAGTGGTCCAGTATTTGAGATAATGCAGTTATGTTTGATGGTGGATACAAATTGTGGAAAATGCGTGAGTTTAGAGGTATAAAGTACTTTACAGTGCATGTTCACTATTTGACCTATGTGAGGTATTATTCCGTAAACGCTCACGCATGATTATGGCTAACATATCGATACATCACTCATCACGTAAACTTGTTACTATAGTTGTTTACACCTGAAGTGTTTCACCTGAAGTGTTTCACGAATTGTTGGTCTAGCTAGAATATACAAAATATGCCAGCCGATGCAAAGCAAATCTAATATATTTCGATACGTAAAATATATATTTACCTATTAGATATTCATATTATCTTACAATATTGTAGGCTGGCACCGACTTCGAAAATATCTGAGTATCTATTCTAAATGAAAACCTCCGTTTGGTAATTTTTACATTTTAGTGCCTGGAAGTCGGTTTTAATTTTTTTTTTAAAGTTTTTATTGTCCATTTTTAGTGTAGACGTAATAAGCAGGCAATTTGTTAGAAGAAAGTTTTTAATGACATATTCGATAAAGCAATTTATTTAATTAATGTATTTAAAATAATAAAAATTAATAAAAATAAATTAATAAAAATTTATGTATTTGTTGATTTAAAAAAAACCGCTTGACTGATTTCGTTAAAAATTTATATGGGACCACCTGGGAAGTATACCCTTTGAAACAAAAAAATAATTTTCCAAATCGGTTCAGGCGTTTTCGAGTAATCGGTGAACATACATGAAAAAAAGAATCCGACGAATTGAGAACCTCCTCCTTTATTTGGGAAGTCGGTTAACAAACTAGCAAACCCTGTCTCTTTATAAAATTAGTATTTAAATTAAAGTAACTTAAATATAGGAGAATAGGGAGACCTAGTAATAGATGGAAAGACATTTACAGTCACAGGTGTGTGTGGTAATGACTGAATACAAAAAAAAATATAGTCGAATCGAGAACCTCCTTCTTTTTGAAGTCGGTTGAAAAGGCTCAGGAAAGAGATGTTTGGAAAGGTTTAGGAGAGGCCTACACCGCAGAGGCGACTACTACTAACATATACTAGTTATTATTTTATGTCACATACACATATAGATAGAGAAATATAGTTTTACAAAAGTTAGTGCACATATGGTTATCTAGACATATAGATAGTATATATAGATAAGTAAACAAATTTATAAATATGTACACATACAGAAAGTCCCAAAAATTTGTATAAATAGATTCAAAAGAAAGAAAAATGTTAACGAAAGTAGTAAGTTAATAAAGGTTATTTTTATTTTATTTTTTTTATTTAAGTAAATTAAATTAAAAGAATTTTGTTTAATACTAAAATAGACATTAAAATAAATAATTTCGTATTATTGTTTAATATATTTATAATGTTATGTTTGAAGTTTTTAGCATCATAGATGGTGTTGAAAATATTATTTGTTTTGAATGTTATAAAATGAATGAAGCATAAAGCTATATATTTTTTTCTAGTTGAAAAGAAAACGAAAAAAAATATATTATAATTATTGAATTTTTAAAAACATTTCTCCAATGTAAGATTACTTTGACGACACGTTTGGCTCAGTTTGTAGTGACCCTACTTGCTGTGCCAGCGGTTGTAGGTTTGAGTCCCACTGGGATCAATCATTTGTGTGATGACGACAAATGTTTGTACTCTAGTCATGGGTGTTTATATTTATAATATGTACGTATTTAAAGTCATATATGTGTAGTGTATCAACTATCCAGTATTCATAACACAAGCTTCATAGCTTACCATGGAACTAGATGGTGATGTGTGTTAATGTCCCAACATATTTATTTATTTAACACCATTCTGTTATTTGTTAAATGGGTTAACCATTTCCATTTTATTTTTATTATACTGTATACTCCTAAGAATTGTTACTAAATAAATAAATTTCATTTCATTTCATTTTTACGTACCATCATCAAAACAAAAATATATTTAATTTAACCACTTACCCAACAAAACCACTTAGACACAAGCATTTTGAGAATAAACGAAAAATCTACTTCATATCAAAATATGTAAGGCAATAAAATATTTTGATTTATTTGACGACGGTAAATTGAGGTCGGCGTGGGGCATATTCCATATAGTTAATGTTGTACGTACAAAGGATCACTAGTCTGACCTGACCCTTTCGTAATAGCGGGTTTAAATATTTAATGACTTAGTTATAAGGAGCAAAATAGTATCTTTATTGAAGTTAATAGTTTCTGGGGATTTAGTATTCTATTTTAGCCTATTAAATTAAAATTTTGATTAATAATATTATTAATGCTATTAACTATAATTGATATTACAAAGAGATTTTTTTTATTATTTTTCTTTGTAATGGATAAACTATAAATATGCTGAGCCGATTAAGATGAAATTTGGTATGAAAATAGTTTAAGAATTTGGGTAATTTTTATCCCGGAAATTATCTTTTAAGGGGGTGGAAAGGGAGATGAAATTTTTATGGGAAATCAATCATTTTTCTTACTTGAAAAATGATAAGGATAAATGAGGATATAAAACTCATCATATCTACGTATGATTTATACATGTATGTATATGAATACATAGTGTATCTATTCCATAATAACCGTTAAAGCATATCTTGTTCTTACAACAAACAAAAATATTAATTAACAAAAATATATTTTCTAACAAATTTTGTTCGACTTTTTGTTCAACTACAGTTTTATAAACTGAAAAAGCGCTCATTTAATCTTCCGTAATGTATGCGATATGTGAAAATTAATCAAAAAAGCTCTAAGTCGAAGGTTACAGAAATACTATGGAGTGGCTATTGAAGAGATTTTTTTAAACAACTTAGTTGTGTATATATGAGTGTCACCCCTATTTTTTATTTTTCTTAATTTCATTACTTATCTTTCATCACTAATGTACATATCTTTAATCTAAACATAATATATACGAATCTGTACATTAAATATTTTTTGGAAAATCTTATTGAAATATCATTAT